AACACAAAGGCTGAGAGGGCTGCTGTCACTTTCAAGAAGGATATCAAGGGTGAAGGCCACAGGAGGAAAAGAGCTACTGAAGTGCAAGGAAGAAGATGGTCAACAACACAAAACAATTCAGGACTTCATTCCAAGAGGATGACCTCACCATAAGCAGGGTAGTAGCAAATGCTAAGGAATGGTGAGGAAATCCTGCATGCTTTCTACATCTTTTCAGAGTTCATGCAGAGGGAAGCAAAAGCCTGTATTTCACCTCTGGCATCCCCACAACCACATGAATGTGTAGTGTATAAATGCCCTTCTTTACATAGCCTGGACATCCAAATTACTTCACAGGGACGCCCAGCAGCTGTGCCCAGTGCACGGCCACCAAGGGCAGGGACACCCTGGGCCCCCCCGGGCACAGAGACAGCCTCAGGGCCAGAACCACCCAGAAGCAGAAAGGGCTGCACATGGCAGACCTGTCACCCCCATGTCACAGTGCCACCACCCGGCAACACAGCAGTCGCAGTGCCCTGGGAAGTATAAAAGGCAGCATCGTCCATGTCCTGCTGCCAGAGCTGGCCTGGGGACAGCCCGAAGATATCCGAGAGGAAGTCCTCAGGGAGCCAGTGGAATTATTTGGAGGGGCTGAGGGAGGAAGGCAGGAGGCTGGATGAGGCTGCTGGAGAGGAGAAGAACCAGGAAGAGCTGGAGGTGCCCGAGGCTGTCAGGCCTTTTCATCTGGACAGCAGTGGCAAGACCAAGGGAATGCCTTCTTGAGGAGCACTGAAGAGCTCACCACCCTCATCCTCTGCAGAGCCAGGGGAGGCAGCTGTAAGAAATGGGATGCAGAGCTGTTGCCGGGGGTCCCAGTGCTTTGTAGCACCCAGTGGTGCCCTGCCAGGTATGGGAAGGATTCTTGCCCCCAAGGTCGATCAGGCCAGGGCCTTTTGCCACTCTTGGAAGCCCCTGAGGTGGCTCCAGGTTGAGGGAGAACAGGGCTTGGGCATCTCCTGGGATGCGTGACCAGCCTGCAGGAGGAGGAGGCAGGTCTTGCTCACATGCTCAGGGAGTAGCCGATCGCCAGTGCTGGGGTCAGGAAGGAATTTTCCCCTGGGGCAGATTGGCACTGGTCCCCAGGGGTTTTTTGCCTTCCTCTGCAGCATTGAGCGTGACCACTTGTCGGGGCTCCTCTGGTCCATTTTGGCAGGGTTACTCATGCCTCTCATGCCTTGCAGCTGGGGGGAGGAAGGCTTTTTTCCCCCAAGCTGGGCTAGCAAGCATCCCTGGGTTTTTTTTGCCTTCTCTGCATCTTTGAGCATGGCCCCTTGTCAGGGTCCCTTTGGGCCATTTTGGCCAGGTGCCTGCTGCTCCTGCTCCACAAAGGTGGCCCTTGTGCTCCACATCTGAGGGGAGGAAACTCTCTACTCCGAGTGTGGGCCCCAACGGTGGTCCCCAGGAGTTGCTGTTTGTCCTCTGTAGCCTTGAGCACAGCCCCTTGTCAGTGCTCCTCTGGGCCCTTTTGTCTTGGTTCTTGCCTGTGGCTCTTGCACCTCAAAGGTGCCGCTCGTGCCCTGGCTCTCTCAGGCTCTCTCGCCCATCACCAGTTTGTAGCAGGAGTGAGCTCTGCTCTTCCCTTGGCTCCATTCCCCTAGGAGTGTGCAAAACATCCCGTGCTTGGAAGGGCTCCAGGCTTGCTGCACCATCCGGAGCTGCCACTTTCCAGCTCTCCCTGCCTGCAATACAAGAGCAGGGCAGGTGTGAAAGCCCTCTTCATGCGTCACTGGCCAAGAAGCACAGTGGCAGAGAAAATTTTGGAAGGCAAAAAGTGTGTCTTTGATCTGTGTCATACTCTGGAAAATACCTTGCAGTACCACACCTCCTCTTCTTCTTTGTGTGTGGTTGGTATTGACTCTCATTCTTCAAGTTCTCACTGCTCAGGAAATAGAGACGGCTTGGCCTGTATTCCTGCTGCTGCTTTCTGTGGCTCTGTGGCTTTCTTTTGCCAGACTTCAAGGGATGTTTTTTTGAGCTAAACTAAAGAATTGCATCTGCCTGCTCCTGGCTGCATGTGTGCATTGTGGCAGTGCTTGTGAGCATCAGCTCTTAAAAATATTCAGAAAAATAACATAACTTGTCATAAAATAAAATCCTATTTCTTAATTAATTTGTGTCTGTGAAAGTGTCTTTAGAGCAGTTTTTTTTTTTTTTCAGTGGTTTGGTATTTTGTGATGATGTATATAGGAGCAGCTGTTCACAGATGAAACATTTCTATTGAAGCATATTGATGTGGCCCCATCACAGCATGACTGCATGAAGTTGTTTTCGTATTTATGTCCAGTTCATCTGACTGAGCTTTTGAAGGTGTATGCAGTGGCTATAGTGAGGCTTGGCCACTTCCTCTATGGGGATGTCATGCTCTGGGATAATTCAATTAGGTTCATGATGCCTGATTCCTGGATATCAGCACTGAATGAGCTCAAAGCTTAGCTGCTTAACATGGGCAAACAAGAAAATAACTTTGAGTATTTTCTGACATTTTTTTTGTCTAAATATTTTCACTCCTACAGTGTTTTGAATAACAAAATACTAAGCTTTTTTTTAAAAAAATATTTGCACAGTAGAGGGAGCTGAAAGTTTAAAAATATATTCATTGTATTATTGCCTGTAAAGATGAGAAATGTGGGTGGAATAATGCATGAGGTTTTAGCATTTTGGTTCAGGAAGATGATGGACATTTATTGCAAGCTATTAAGTGAAATGAGTCACAGGATTTGGAGTCAGACCATTAACATGGTCTTACCTGGGAGCACTACCTTGTAGAATGTAAGACAGCAGAGTAAAGACAACATGCTGCTCAACTGTATGCTTTGCAGCTGGTTTTGTTAAACTACATCTTACCTTGATCTGTTTATGTTCAGAAATACTCATTTAATGGAACAATTTAAGTGAGATATGTATAAGATAAATTTTTCAGTTACTTTTTGATGCTATCAGACTGAAATTATTTTTCCAGATTTTAAAAGTTCTTTTCTTCATCTATGTATTTTAGTATTTGTTGTCAAATTGGTTTCAGTCAAGCCAGAGATTGGTGCTGCCAGTATAAAGGCACATATACTTGCCCTTGAGCCTATTTCTGTGAAAATGTTACAGGTTAACCTGTCATTCTTCCACCTCCATAAGATTAAACTATTTATGCTAAGCCCATTTTGGTAAAACCAGGCAAGGAGAAGGCTGCATGTCTAGCTGGTCTGGTAGATCTGGAAGAAATGTAAACTGGTGTTCGTTCTTGCCTTCCCAGAGCTACAGCCACCACATGCTTTAATTAAAAGTCCCTTGATCGCTGGTTATTTCCAACACACGTGGGAATGATCAGGAAACCGTCCAGAGAACAAAATGCCCAATTTTTTTCACTGTCCTTTGGTGGTATTAGAAAAACGACCTACCTGGCAGCAGCTCTACCTGATTCTGCCATTTTGGAGGCATCCCTGAGCAGGGGCAGAGGAGCATGGGGCAGCATCTCTGCTCTGCTGAGGGCAGAACTTCTTTCAAGAAATTTTGCTGGGGCTCAGCTGCTTTATCAATTGCAGAGAGGGGCTGTCTTAATCTGCCACCTTTTTGGGTATGTCTGCTGCATGGCCTCCCCTGAGTGGGAGCAGCAGAGATAGAACAGATGGCAGAGGAGGTGAGGAGACCTCATCATGCAGCTTGGGCACATCATGATACCATATCTGACCAAAGCCACAGTCACCTCCGTGGGTGTGAGTCCTTGTGGCTCTTACAGACTCTTACAGCCTTGCTTTCCTTTGTAGCTTGCCTTTGGGGATTAGAGAGGTCTAGGGGTCATGTAAGCATATGAAGGTTTTGGCAAAAGGCGGAGGAGGGGAGGGCTCTGAAGCGTCTTCTAAATGAATAAAAGAAATTTTTAAAAAATTTAGATAGTAGGATTTTCCTAATGTGATGAGCTGGTGGGAGTGCATGAACTGATGGCAAAAGTGGTTGTTGTGAATTGAATTAATAGCAGATGTGATAGAATGAGAGCTCCAGCTGCATGGACAGTCACATCTCTGGCAGGGGGAGAGGAAGGCATAAAAAATATATCAGTGCTTTGATTTGTGAGCTTAAAATTGTGAGCAGCGTTTAAGAAACAGAAATTGCCACATTTACATCTGTGCTGTTGTTACATGTATTATTAAAGAGATGGTTTTATAATCTATTCTTTAGTCACCCTGAATCTTTTGTTCTGCTGTTTCTTTGCAGGTGACTGCAAGAGTGACAGTTTAGGCTGCTACCACAAGGTGTCTCTCACTGGTAGAGTTTGGCATCCTATCCGTTATGACCCATATAATCTCCAGGCCAATAATTACTTTCTCTTATTTGGTCAAGATAATTCCTTTCAAAGGATTTCTTTGATTAAGCAAATCCATTAATATGATCTCTAGATAATGCTTCTTTGCTTGAGTCTTTCTGTTACTGCTCAGACAGCACATTTTTCTATAGTTCATTAAAGAAGATCAGTATCTTTTGAAGTTTAATGGAAAAACTTGTATCTATTAATTAATATTTGCTAGGTTCGAGAACAAGTTAATCTAGAAAAGTAAATCTATATGTTTTCATTGCAGGAAACATCTGTGTCCATTGCTTACACAGACTGATTTAATCCATGGAAGTGTTCACCAGAGAAACAGTTTCATGATCAGGCTGTCTGAGCCCATCTCACAAACTGTCACAATGCTACGCAAATGCTGATCTCATATTTAACAAAACAGACAAATGAAAGAAATGTTATTCAGGAAACTATGATCTTTTTGATCTTCTTATTAATTTCTTCCAGGAAAGGAAGAAATATTACAAGAAATCTGTTAAAGGAAATGTGTTCCTTTAAGAGATGGAATTACTGTCTCAACCCATGAACAGAGCTTTCCTCACAAACTGAATCGCAGGCATTTATTTTATTTAGAATTAGAATGGCAATGTTCTGAAGAGCAGACAAAAATTAAACAGGTTATTCTGATAGAAGAACAAGTTAAAAATATTTGGAGGTAATGCTGTCTTTTAAAAGCAGTACCCTAATTTATGGTGTGCACAGGTATATAGTTTTGGTTAAATGTTTATGCTTCCCCCCCTCCCCCCAACACACACTTTAAGCACTTTTGGGAAAGTATATTTTTGGTTTGGGTTATTCTGTTTGGAGTTGTTTTTGAAACTCCCATTTGTTTGAAGCTCTGATGGATGATTGCGGCAAACAACCCTTGCAACATCAGTGCAAAAAGCTGACCTTTCCTGTGTTCAACACAATTTGACTTTACTGTGAACTTTAAATTTTGTCTTTTGAGCTGGGGGAAATTTTATATTTTCTGAGACCTCTCACTTTCCCTAGTGCAGCACTCTACTTTTTACACTGGCCTTTGCTTCAAGTATTCCTGTTACCCTCGCCAACATCAGGAAGTAAATTCCACCTGAAATAATTGAGCTGCACTAATTAATCAACCGGCTGATATAGTAGATGGAGACGATGAGTGTGCATACGTGCTGGTGTACAGCACCTGCTGTGCCTGTCATCCACTTACTCAGATCCTTCCTCTGATTTAGAAATCTCAGGAGACAATGGTAAAGATAGCTCACCTTTGGAATATTTTACATCTCTACCAACAAAATAGCTGCCTGTCTCAGTTAATCTAAGTTATTTAAAGTATTTGTGCTCATCTATATTAGTTATTCACTTCCTTTCCATGGAGCAATTTAGTGTCTGGTAAATTTAACTTGTTATGGGGACTATTGCTATCTTGTTCTATTGTTTCTGATCTTTTCTAAGTTGAAAACAAAAAGGAGTGATGGTGAGAAGAGATCCTGTGTAAGATTTCACTGATACTTCCATGAGATGCAGAGCATTGTACTACTAGAGTTAAAAAGAGTGTGAAATTTTTACAGCAAATCAATTAAATACAAAGGGCTAGATACTTTTAAAGGTGACTTTATGAAGAATAAAACCTTTCATAAACAGTGAACATTTGAAAAGAGAATCTTCTATATTTTACACTTTTAATTGAGGATAGATATTATTTCATGTCAACCCATAAACATTTTATGTTTAATAGCTGGAATTTCCTTAAAATGTAAGCTAATTCTCAGTGAATCAGAGATTGAACACACCCATCTCAGCAGCATACGCTGCTGTTCAATGTAGGCTGAAGACAGCGAGTGCTACTAAGATAAATTTTCAACTCACTGTTCTCACTCATGTCCTGCTCTTATTTTTGTGCTGCTCTAGATGATTGAGACGCGTAATTTTTTCGAATGAGAGTTACGGTCACCTGGCACAGTGAGCTACTCTCTGTTGTTTGGGGTCAGCAGAATCTGAGTAGATGCCATCTTTTCTGTAAGTGCAATAAACTCAATTAAACCTTTAGCTGGTACACTCATAAATGCCAACATTTAGTTTCATTGCTATGTGGGGGAAATAATTGGTTTCCTTTACTGAAGTAATTTGGAGGAAATCCCAAGGTTTATGAAAGTATGTGCTCAAAGGGTGAAAAAACCCTGGTGAATGGATACATTTGAGATCCCCTGGAAAGATCTATGATAGTGATGGAAAACACAAGTAATGATGTGTATGACACATCACCATTCTTTCTTTCCCTCCCCTTTTTCAGTGGCATTAATGATCAGTGATGTGCGTTAAGCACACTGTCAACAAATTTTCTCCAAATTACCCATTAGGAAGTAAAAGTATTTACTGCACATCGTTTCTCAGTCAGGGGATAGGGAGGTAGTACTAGCAAAGTGAATGCATGACATTGGGAAAGCTCTCTGGGTCTTATCATCAAGTAGTAGAAGCTGGAGCTCTGCACCATTGCACTGCAAGGGAAATAGCCCAAGTAAAACACTGGGAGGCAATCTTTGTCCCTAGGTTCACATTTTATGCAATTTGTAGCAAATGCTGTGAGATGGGTCTGTGGAAAGAGGTGTAAGTGATCTGGGCATGAACTGGCATTGCCTTGGGGCTGTAAAGATGACAAGATTAAAATAGGATGATTTATTATGGTAGAAGTCTTTGTGAATATAGTAGTGGGTTGAACTCAGCCTTAATGAAAACATATTTTATTATTTTCTATTTTACCTTAGAAGGAGCACTACAGTAGGAATTAGGACTGGAAAATTAGAAATGTTATGTATTGCACTCATTTTGTGCCTCCAAATAACTTTTCATTTACTAAGGCAATATTTTCCATTTTATATAGTGCTGCATTTTTCCATGGAATAGAAATTTATGGAATTTCCCATCTAAGAAGTGGCATAGGATCTGTCCTGATCAGCCCTAAAGCCAGTTTTTCATGCACCTAAGAAAGACAATTAGTCTGTTTCCATGCTGAGGAGATGCTGAATGGTTGATAATTGCACTGATCAGAGCTCGCATGTGGAGTCAGAAATCCTGGGCTCAGACTGAACTCAAATAGGCTTTGCTGCTTCAGTTGCAGTTAGGTTTATGTGTCTGCTTCACCAATCTCTGCAGAGTCAGTCAAATTTCAAAGGTTATAAAATGATCCTTGAATATTCCTTCATGGAATATGGCTCCAAGAGTATTGGTGACTCAGTCCTGTAAGATTTCAGACTTCAGCTCTGTAAGATTTTGTATGAAGAGAAATTGTAACAAAGGTATTATTTCTAAAAAGAAAAAAATACAGGTGTGTGTTTCCACGTCTCTTCTTGTACTTTTTTTTCTCTGATCTTCCAAGCTGAATTATTTCTCAGAGACACAGCCATGTATGGACACAGTCTACACATTCCCTTGCTGGCATTTCCCCGACTGCTCAGCCAGCCTGTCATGAAAAAATACATAGATTTTCTGAGTAAAAATTCAGGGCCTCTAGAACATAACTGACAGTGAAGTGTTTAAAAACCCATAAATTAATTTTGGCTTTATTTAGTCTAGAAGGAATAGAGCATTGTGCACATTTTGCTAATGTTTATATTAAAAAGGAAGGCATGATTTGTTTCCCATGCCTGAGCCAAATTACAAAAACTCTGTTACGCTGAAGCTTGTGTCTGGTGTGGAAAAAGAATAGCCGTGTGCAACAGGAAGAGATCATGATGTGTATGACACAGAGTCACCAGGAGCCTTGGGATGCTCCTTTTGATAAGAGAAAAACAGCTGGGAATCAGCAAGACATCGCAGCTCTTAGAGATTTGCTCTCAGGTCCTTTGATGAGAGCCTTTTGTATCTCTGGCTGTGACACAAGGGGCGGCGTCTTGGTGGAGGACCCTTGACTGGGGAGCTTCCCTCCAGCAGAGAGAGGGGAGGCGGCACTTGCCATTCCACAGTAAAATCTGTCTGCTTTCCCTTGATCTCCGTTGTGACACTTGTGGAACCGTTTTTATTAGTCGTATGTATTGGTGTTGATGGTACAGGATACTCAAGTAGACTGCAATTTTTTTTGCATCAAGGCAATTTACCGTACTAGAAACTAGCCTGGGAACAAAATAATTGAATGTTCTGGTTCCTTCAAACAAAGCCCACATGCTGTGCTAGTGGGAAGACTGTCATGCTATAGCTAGGTACGTAAAATAAAATGGTCTTTAGAGGTGCTGAATACTCACACCTGGGCACCTCTGAAATAGAGTGCAGTTTGAAACATGTACACACTGCTCAGATCCTTTGCTCTGAACAAGGGAACCCTGCTGAAATCACAAAGCGCATTCACACACAGCTTTAAAAAAAGCTTAAGAAAAAGTTTTAGCTGGCAAAATACTTGTGTGCTTCCCTAATCCATGTCTGCTCTTATGTAAAAAAAAATTAAGATCTTTACATACAAAAATGTCCTTTCTCCCCCCCCTCCTTCGGTTCAGGTAATATAGGCATAAAGAGTTTCAGTTCATCAAATATGTCTGACTTAAAAGCAATTTGTATTTTATGTGCAGTCAGTATACCACAGTGTGGCCTTTGAGTCACAGGAAGAAACCATTTTTTAAACTGTTTTTCTGGCATGTTTGTACATTTCCTATATTGATGGTGTAAAAAGACAGGAGAAAAAAAAAAAAGTGTGGAATTATGTAAGCAGAATATAAAGGAGGAAATTATTTTAATGACCTGACGATGCCTTTTAGTTTTTTTGATATCTGGAGCAGGAAAGGCATGCTCCTATGAGTGCTGAATGGGAAAGATGACCTACTTTAGTTTAAAAACACAGATGAACTGAACCTACTTTTTCAAACCTTACTCCAGCAAGCAATCCCACTAAAACGTAGTCTTAAAATCTTATTGTATTTTTTATACAAAATTGCTGTATTAGAAAAAGAAGAAAACTTTCTATCCAACACTGGGCAAGGTCTCTCCATGCAGGCAAACGGCTGCTCTCTCTGGGCCAATACGTGAAGTGACAAGGAAGGGCAATGTTGCTTTCCATAGTGCAATGTCTTCAGCTTTCTAGTATTTTACTATTTTTTATTTTTATCTTTTAGTTTCTGCTGGATCAGTGTAACCTCTGGAGCAGGAGAATTTTATTACCTTGCTTTGCACCACTCTGAACACTCGTGATACATCTGTCCAGGATGGCTTGACTCCTTCCATCTCTTCTCATTTCAGACTCCTTGGGAACTTTCCATATGGAAACAACTACCTACCTACTTGTCTATTGATATATATATATATATATATATGTATATATATATATATATATTTTTTTTTTTTTTTTTTT